TATATATATATATATATATATATATATATATATATATATATATATATATATATATATATATATATATATATATATATATATATATATATTAGGGGCTATTCTAGACCGTTTTCGACAGCGTTGACTGCATTTGGTTTTTGTAGGTATTATTAAAATACCTACAAAAACGCCCAAATTAAAACCTAAGGACTTTTTTTTTTATTTTTACAACAAAAACAGTTATCTTTGCGAAAAAAACTGCAGATTTTCCCCTAAAGTTATATATTCCTCGGTAGGGAACAAGAGCTTAAGCTTTTGCTCCCCACCAAGGAGTATTGCCCACACCTCCTTAAAATGGTTTACAGAAGCAATTTACAACTCTTGCAAAATTATTAAAGTTTTAGATTAACAAATTTGCAAAAGTTAAAGTTTTAGATTAACAAATTTGCGATTTAATTTTATAGTCTTTAATTTTTTTGATATATAATATATGTAAGTTATTTTATACTGCAACAGTTTTGTTTAGTCAAACAGAATTATAGTATCAAAAATGTGAGTAAAAAAATCACACAAAGTTAAAAAAGAAATAGAAAAATAAAGAACTTTTTTTTTCTAACACAGATATGCAGTTCAGAGAGATTTATTTTCCTAAAAGTCTTTGATTGAAATACAGTGTAATTTAGCTATAATGTTAATGCCAATATGATCAAGTTGGCAAAGTTGCTTATAAAAGCATTATTGTTGTAACTAAGATGAAAAATTTCAGACTCGTTTTGCTCATATTTTTATAAACGGCACCTGTTTCATTTTGAACATGCTCATGAATAAGCCATTTGTTGCTATGTATCTTTAACATTTGTTTAACATCTTTCTCATGATCCTCATTTAGTTTCCTAACTTTTGGAAGTCTTTCAATTATTTCCTAGATAATAAATAATTTGAAAAATTTAATAGTTTTATCATTTTAAGCATATAAAAAAAAACGTATAACTTATTTATAAGCTGCAAATTGTTATTTCTAAAATTCTGCTTTAAAGGTAAATCTTTATAAAAAACTTGTTTATAGTTCAAAGAAAATTTTTTTAATTTGCCCCCATTTCAGGTCATTATGGACAAAGTTAAAACAAAGTATAATCTATAACAGAAAACGTCAGTTTAAATGAATATTTAATTTGCATGCGCATTCAAACAGAGTATCATTCACAATTATATTATTTTTCTTTTTTCTTATATCTGATAGTAATATGGAGCTCAATAAACTCTTGCTTCATGATATAATTATAACAACTAATTTTAAATAAATCAATTTCATATTAGAACTTGAGTGGAAAATAAACCAGATCCTACAAAAAAAAACATTTTTTTATTATTTATTTTGAAATAAGGGTGTAAATCATAAGTTTAAATTTATTAATTCAGTAATCTATCATATAAAAATATTAAAATAACAAAAACAAAAATTAAAGCTAAAATAAAATTAGCAATAAGATCAACAAAGATCGCAACATTTTGGCCTTAAAACAGCTATAGTTAAGAAACAAAGCTTCCATTTTTTTATCTATTTATCCTTTGTTTCTATCAATTATGTTGAAAGTATAAAAAAATTATTGATTATTAAAATTTATAAAAAAATATAAAAACATAACATATAAAAATATAATTAAAAACTAAGAATTCTTTTTTTGTTGCACACCTGTCTAGTTAAGTTTATCTTATGTCAAATGAAACTATGAGAAAAGTTTTAAAACTTTTTTTAAAAATTTTTGAAAAAACTATAATAATTACTTTTTAAACTTGTGTTTATTGTTTGTAAATGTCTTTCAGTCTAATAGCAAAGATTTAATTAAGGAAATGAAAACTATGTAAAAAAAAGTAATCAATTAAGTAATATCAAAAGGCTAAATTTTGACTTAATGAATGACTTTTGAGGGGAAAATAGCGAAATCCTAGACTTTTCCCTGCCAGGGAATCAGGGACCCTGACTCTCCTAACCACCTAATGCTAAACATTTTCCTGAACTTTTCCATAATATCCTTTATTTTATGTATACTGGCCACCAAAAAACTCATACCTTTATATAGTAAAAAAAAAAAAAAATAGATTTACTTTGTCAATTGCATGATTGTGCTCATTAATAACTTTTGTCACACAGAACCTTTCACCATCTTCCGTAACACCAATGCAAATCGTAAATGAATTTTATAGGTACTATGTATGAATAATACAGTAATAATAATAAATCTACATATAGCATCTTTAGTGAAACGAAATCTTCAGTTTACAAAAAAATCTTGTAGAAAAAAGTTATGTTTTATTGAATAATTTTAATTATTATTTACTAATACCTTTGGCTTGGACAAAGCCTTTTTGACGTTCACCATGATAGCAACAGTAAGTTAAATAATAATAATTTAAATCTTTATTAATATATCGTTGCAAACCTTTTTTAATTGCTAAATCAATTGTTCGACTATCTCGAACATAAAGAGATACAAAACTTGATTTTTCATATTCTTTAATTGCTAGCTTAAGCTCATTAAAATTATTAAAAATATCTCCTAAATTCATTCTATTAACAATCAACGCGGATAATACTAACGATTAAGTCGTCTAATTATAAGTAAATTTTAAGTATCAGAAGCTATTGCGGATGAATAACAATGAGATAAAGCTCATTTCCATTTGAATGGACATGTGAATAAGCAGAATCTCAGATTCTGGGGCACCAAAAATCCACACCAAGTTCATGCGAGTCCAATACACCCGGTAAAAGTCACAACATGGTGTGGAGTAACATCAGCAAGGGTTATTGAGCTCTTCTTCTTTGAGCATGTAAATGAAAATGTAAAATGCTGTGACTAATTGCTGAGAAACATCGACACATGCTAGCGAATTTTGTTCAACCTCAGTTAGCAAACATAGCAGGGTATTGGTGGCAACAAGATGAAGCAGCTGCACATACCACTAGAGCCACAATGCAGCTGTTAACTGCAATGTTTCAGGATCAGATAATCTCTCTTAAATCCGATTTTGAATGACCTCCACGTTCTCCTGATTTGACAGCACCAGACGTTTGACTTTGGGGATATCTTAAAGACAAAGTGTATGCAAATAATCCCTGAACTATTCAAGATCTTAAGGCAAACACACGACAGGAAATTCTTTCCCTACAACCTCAGATGGTAAGAAGGGTCGTGAAGAATAACTTAAAAAGAGCTCGACTTTGTGAAGCAGAGAATGGAGGCTATTTCAGAGATATTATCTTTCGTAACTAAGTCAGAACTAACTTACAGATTCTAAACTTTGTAATAAAAAAAGTATTAATTAAATACAGTCGTTTAACAAAAAGTTATTAAATTTTTAAAACGTAAAGTGACTTATGGGCCACCCTGTATATTATGTTAGATTTTGTCCCCCTTCCTTCTTTAAAGTAACATTAAAGATATGCGTAAGCACTATTAATTTTTTCTGGGTAAATTATACATTTATATCACAGCATATTATATTATAGAACAGTTGATACCTCATCAAATAGTAAACAAACTATGGAAAATGTTATTCTGTTACTATAATGTAAATTCAATCACTCATCGTCTTCCCATGAGTTGTTAAAGTGTTCTTTGATAATAGCGACAAATGACTTTATGTGTTTGTTTTAAAGCACATTTTAAAATCCGCTGGGATTGAATAATGATTGTTAAATTTATATACAAATTAATAATGCTTGTAAACAGTTAGATTTTCAATCAAATGGTAATAAATGGTAATAAATATTAAAACGTTGGTAAATTTTTTTAATTGATATCATGTCTCTAAGAAACTTACATCGAATTCCCCACAAAGCAAATATGCTTTTTCTATACCATATTGTAGATGTAAATACCTTTAAAATCTGCTCGAACTTGTTTTTTATTTCCTTAAAACGGACATCATTTTGGTCTCATCAACCCCTCTGTATTGTCAATTCTTGTCAAACTTTTCAGTACCCCCCCCCCCCTTACATTTACTGACATCATTTATGCATAGCCCCAAAGTTCTACTTATCCAGTGACCAAGATAATGGAATTCTACTGTATATACTCGTTTTTTTTTACAAGCATAACGCTTATAGGCTCAAATTTGGAAAAAAATAAGCATATGTAAGCATATTCCTGAGCCTTGATAAACCATTAAAAAAATATTATTTTTATTTAATTAAAAACTCTAATTATATGTATTTCTAAATTTAAACCAACAAAAACCGAAGTTTATAACAACATTAATTCAGGTACATTAAAACCAAAACAAAATTACTGAGCGTAAATCAACTTTTTTTTTTCTTATACCCATTAACCTTTAGTAACGCGCACACTTTTAGAAATTATTGAAATATGTATATTTTATTAGAAATATGCTTAAGCTTAACCATATTTTAGAGCATCTTTTTACTTTTTGCTTAAGCATATTCAAACCTGTTTCAAAAATTTCATATGCGTCGAAAAAAAAAACATGAATACTCCTCCCCATTATTCTTACTTTTACTATATGTCATTAGTTCAAAAACATCATTATATATTTATTATGACACGTTTCTTAAGTTTATTTCCGTTAAGAACTCTTTCGTATGTTGTGATGCAAAATACTTTCGTTTCAAAAGAAATTTTGTTTTTTATCAATATTTCTAAAAATAAAACCATAAAAATTTAATATGTTATTATAAGGGAAACTGGGGTAAAATGGGGTACTTAAGAATGAAACCCTATAAAATCCACAACAATTAATAAAATGATTACAAATAAATGTTGAAACGTCAGAATACAACATAGACAACATTGTAACAAAACAGCAAGTCAAAAGAATGTAAGTTAATAGATTTATTACATTTTTTTAAAAATAACATAAAAACGCCATTTTACCCCAAGCATGGGGCAAAACGGGGTAATGGATGGGGCAAAATGGGGTCAAAGGAGGAACTCAAACAAATATGATAAATCAATCACTGCTAGTACAAATATAATCAGTCACTGCTAGTACAAATATAATCAATCACTGCTAGTACATAGCTCACACAAAAAGTAAGGTTTTTTGTTTCTTTCATCAATGCCTGCACAAGAATAATGGGCCCATCTGTGGCACTCAGTACATGAGACCCAACTCTCTGTGCTGCTGGAAAGATCCTCACAATAGAGGCATGGTGTGTCTTCATTTGATTTTTTGACAGATTTGTTTTTCTTTGGATTCTTTTTTTCATTGGCTTCCATTAATGATCTTTTATAAGGCGAAGAAGTCAAAATAGCTGTTTTTCCTCTTTGTTTAGAAATACGTTTTCTTTGGGCCTGTTTTGGGATGGGCAGCAAATGACATGGCGAGATTGCAAAGCTTAAAGTTACAGTGGTTGATGTGCTAGGCCTACATGAAGTTGAAGGTTCAGTGGCGGATGTGCTACCGGTACATGAAGTGGAAGGTTCAGTGGTTGATGTGCTATCTGAAGGTTTAGTGGCAGGAGCAGAGACAGTGGTAAGGGCTGAATCCGTGGTAGCAAAACTTTCAGTATCCTCAGTAATAATGCTCATGTCTGTTACTTCCGCTGCTATGAAATCAGCATCAGTAAATACTGACCTATCCACTGGCCAAATACCTGCTTTTTTAAATCCATTGATTGCATTAGTCATGGTAGCAGTATCAAGATATGACGCACCAAACAGTGATGCAATTTGAAATTGCGTTACCACACGCCCAGGATTTGTTCTTAACCATTTCCTTAAATTATGGTCATAAAATGTACTCAGAGGTTTCATAAACAAAATGTCAAGAGGTTGCATTTTGTGAGTGCAGTGTCGAGGCAAACAAAGGAGAATGACACCATTCTCTCTGGCAATGTCAATAAGCTCTATGCTTTTAGTGTGTGTCGCATGTCCATCTAATATTAAAAGAACTGGTGAATCTTTTGTGACTTCTGTGTGTAATATAAATTTCTTTAACCAATTTATAAATAAATCATTCTGGATCCATCCACTCGGGTGGCATTCTGCCCAAGCACCAGGAGGTGCTCCATCCATCAACTCTGCCTTCATGCCCTGACGGGAAAAGATTAACATAGGTGGCATGTATCTCCCACTTGCTGAACAGCAAACTACTGCTGTAACAAGTTGACCCCTTTCTGCAGATGTAAGAGAGCCAACTTGCCTTTTTCCTATTGTGGAAATAACTTTTGACAGCGACTTAGGGACAGTAGAAATGCCTGTTTCATCGACGTTCCATACTCTTTCGACATCAATTTTATTTATGTTAATGACATTCTCAACAAGCTCGAAAAATTTATTATCGACTTCTTTATTAAAGCCCATTGCTCTGGCTGCAGATGTGGCTTCAGGCTTTCTCAGTGACAAATGTTTGGCATGTCTCAACATAAAACCCTGATACCAGTCGTAACGGGCCACCCCCAACTCTTTATTAAATTTATGACCCTTTTTATTTTTTTCAGCCAGTTCAAGAAAGTTTTCTCAGCTCATAGGAGGTTAGGCCAAAAAGCATTTTCTCCATCTGCTGAACATACTGAACAAGTTCTGCCTCGTCTTCCAATGTAAAGATAGTTTTGAATGCGCCTAGCGCTGAAAAAGAAATTAAAATGAAAAATTAGAATTAGAATTAACTAAATAAAGATGCTTTTCATACAAATTCATTTATTTAGAACGTATACCATAGCCTATTTTCTGGCATTTAATTTAATATTTAAAAATGTGAAAAATTCCTAAATTTAGATTGTGCTTAGTCCATTTATTTACTCTTTTTGCAAGCATCCTCAATATCAGGATTTTTCTTAAATTTAGCCACTCTGCGTTCGAGGGTTGTCTGTGGCACACCATACATTGCAGCTGCCTTTTTATACCCATGATCACCATTGATCAGAGGCAGCATGGCCTGCTGCATTTCGGTTTTATTCCAAGTTTGGCGTTCAGATATTCTTTTGTAATTTCTCATTTTTTTCAAAGTTAATAATCTGAAAAAATAAAATAAAACAACTTTAATATCAGCAATTTAAGTACGATTCAGTAAGAACTAAACAAATAGGCCTACTATTATTATAATAAAATTTCAGAATTACTTTTTTACTTAGCTAGACTACTTAGACTTAGATGTTGGGAATTTATTTTATGTATCCCTGAGACACTAAATGAATCACTATTTGTTTAAGATATATATATTTCGTTTATAACGTTATACTCCACTGACTGCGAATCACTAACTAAATCTACAAAATAGCTACACATATAACGTGAAAATTGCGCAGATGCGCAATTCCCAAGTGGTTTTGAAAACTTGTTTAAAAACTGGTTTTTCACGTTTATAAGTTCGTTACGTTCTTCTAAGCCCGTGCGTATGAAGTTCTATTGCAAAATAACCAGTTAATTGCTCTTTAGACGAGATTTCCAACATAGATGACTTAGCTCAAACTAGGCTTTCTTATTTTAAATTTATAGTTCTATAGTATAGGCTATAATAATACTTTAACTGAACTTTAACAACAATAAAATTATATTTTAAAAATAGACTAGTATTAAGTATTAGTATTATTTATTAAAAGAACCTAGGCCTATTGACTAAAATTATAGCAGGCCTATTGAGTCTATTAGTAATTTAAAAAAATAGAATCACGTTTAAATATAAACCACATCTCATACCCCATATTGCCCCTTTGAGACACCCCCATTTTACCCCAACATAGGAGGCATAATAAAACTGTTCGAAAAAACAAAGCAGAGCAAAGCTCATGAATATATAAGAGTTTTAATTGCTTAATATATAATATCATTCAGAAACAATAATATATTTAATTCAAAGCTTTAATTACAAAGAAGCTGCTTCTTAAAGTATAATGTTAAAAAATAAGATGAAAAAGTTGACAAAATTGTATTTACCTCTCAACGACGATACTTAAAGAAAACGTGAACAAAAGTAAAAGATGGCGACGTTTCTTCTCGCGATATTTCAAATCCAATATTTTTTTGATGCTCTGAGGCTCTGAATGGGGTGTATTTTCAAAACCCCATTTTGCCCCACTACCCCATTTTACCCCAGTTTCCCCTACTGAAAATAAAAATTCATTATAAACATTTTTGGATTTAAAGATGTTAGTTTTTACAATTAAAATCAGTCTGGCAAACAAATTTTCTTTATAGACTTCAAAACATTTGGCGGAAATGCTTGTGTCGCAAGTGCGATTTCCGAAACCGCTTCTTTCGTATGTTGCAAAATAGTAATATTTCGTATGTCAACCAGCGTTGCCAGATTTTTTTGCGCTAAAATGCCAAATGCTTGTCTAAAAAATGCCTAATAATGCCAAATATTTATTAATAATGCCAAAAAAAATGCCAACTTTTAAAATAGCAGAAAAACTTTATAAAAAAACATTGAACCTTATTTATTAACAATATATATTCAATAAAACTATTTTAAAAGTCATATATTAATCAGTTTTAACATATTTTTTATATATTTTTCAATAAAAAAACGACTTTTAACATAGATTATTTAAGTATTTATTAAATAGATAAGTATGTTCACTCAACTTTCAAATAAATATAAATCTAAAGTTAAAAAATATGAGTTAAAGAAAATTTCAAATTCTGTTAAAAGAATTATAAAAAATGTCTCAATATCAAACTTCCTTTAGTTTAAATCATCAATTAGAGTGAAATCATCTTCGACTAATTCATCATCGTCAGAATACATGTCCGTTCCCAATTTAGTTAACATTTTGTCACTGATTTTAAAGTCTTTACAACATTTGTTGCGGCTAGCAAGGTAGGCTTTTACTCGCACTACACTGCTGAGCAATTTGTCTGACATTCTGTTTCTTGGTTTGTTTTTAACAAAGGTGACCTGAGAAAAAATACGTTCCACAAAAGCGTTTGATATTGGGAGAACAAGACAAGTTAGGCAATAGTCTGCTAGTTCCTTAAATGCTGCATCTCCTGATGTATTTTTGTAGTGGCGAACTGCAGTCCAGAACTCAGTTGTATCTTTTGGTATACAAGAATTTTCAAACAGCTCCGTAGAAGACCAGTCAACCAAACTTACTTTTCTGTACTGATCTTCAATGTTTTGCGCTTTATCCTTCATAATATGCCTTAAAGGCAGATGAGTGAATGGCATTTTAGAACTTTGATGCAGAACCTTTGATGGTGAGAGATAAGATAGACCTTGAAAAATTTCTTTGTTTTCAGGTAGACGTTGATCAAGCTCTTTCAAAAGACGCAAAAGAAATTGAAGACAACGTGTTAGAACACTTTCAATGTTTTTTCTGGCTATTTCTTTTTGGGTTTGAGGATAAGTATCAATATATTTTTGGCAATCTGATAAAAACTTTGCCCCAAAGTCAACACGTTTTAGAGGCAGTTGAACTCCTTGGTTGTCAAGAACACGCTGTTGTAGACTTTTGTAGTGTAGGTTTAGCTCTGAAACTAGCTTCTCAGGATCCACATTAGTGCTTTGAAAAAGAGCATTCAAACGCTCAAATTCTTGAACAATTGGTGTCAAAAAGACGACATAAAGATAGAGAGTTTCATCTTTGAACACGTTGTTAATTGTTGTAACTCTATACCTAATGCAAGCAGGAGCTCGAACTTCAGCACATAAGAAATAGGCTTTTAATTCGTACCAATTCACCATCAAATTGTAAAGACATTTCCCTCTGACGAGCCATCAAGTAGCTGAATACTTTTGAAATGGTGATAGAGTTCCCATCCTTTCATTGCTTGGATCCATTGTCTGAAAAAGTACTTTAAACTCTTCTCGTCGAATGGAACTTTTTGAAAAAAATGAAGGAATTTCACTGAGCAGAAAGCCAACACTTGATGGCATTAATTCAAAGGAATGCTGAACAATGAGGTTCAAGGAGTGGCATGTACAGCGCATTAAAATACAATTAGGAGAGACTGCCCGAACACGAGACCAAACCGAATTGTGAAATCCAATGACATTTGAAGCTCCGTCTGAGCTATACCCAATGCAGTTTTTTAAAGACAATCCAACAGACGTCAACTTTGTTTTCCAAAACAGCAAAAAGATCTGCACCAGTGGTTGATATCACAGCAGCTAAACCAAGAAAGTCATCGATAACTGATTTCTGTTCATCTGAATCGTATCGAGCACAAATGCAAAGATGTTTTGTCAAAGAAACATCAGTTGATTCATCAATCAGAATGGAAAAAGGTTTATCTGCCATTGATTCAGAAATTTCTGATTCGATTGATGAAGAAATTACATTTTTAATAATTTGGGTACATTTGGTTCGATGCAGACGAAGGTTTTCAAGGGGACTATTTTTTCCATAAAGAGAAATGATTTCTCCAAGGTGATTTATCGTTGAAATGGGTGCATGACAACACACGCAAAGAGCAAAATGAATATCTGCTTCACAGTCTGCTTTCTTTGATACTAAAGGAAACGTAATCTGCTTTTTGTGTTAAGATGCTTTCTAGCATCTTTTCTCTCTTTAAGATGATTTCTCTTGAAGCATGTCTAAAAGTACCACTGTGCTGTTCTACAGACGATTTCCGTGATTGTATAGTCACACGACAAAGGGTACAGAATGCTGATTCAGTACCATCAGAGCTTTTTTTAAGCCAAGGATAATCCGCTTCCCATTTTTCAAGGTACTTTCTTGAATTTACCCTCGACATTGTGCTTAATGTTCTAATACAAATTAAATACAAACCAACTGAAAAAAAAATCAATTCATTAGTTTTTTTAAAAATGCCAAAAAAATGCCAAAATGCCAATGCCAAAAAATGCCAACATGTTAAAATAATGCCAATTTTACTAAATTTGGCATTAAAAAATGCCAGTTGGCAACACTGATGTCAACTTGCGAAATGCTAAATTTCGGAAGTAGCATTTGCGAAATTAACGTCGACGACTTTAAATGTTTTGTAACATTCGGAACGAAAAAATGTAATTCCTCATTCTCAATCTCCTTACAAAAGAATGTTGTTTTTCCGGAATTGCACGAAATCCTCCGGTTAACAACCCTAGTCTAAACATCAAAAAATTCAAATTATAGAAAAAATTATTTCACAGGAAGTTGGGAACTGTTATAATTAATTATGTAATAACTATAGTTATTTTGCAACCAGGAAGTTGCATCAACTACATTAGATAATTAAAAAAACATGAAAAGAATTCTTTACAATTAGAATAATTTTAGACTGGCCATTTGTTTTTATAATTTTTCAAAGGAACTTACTTTCATGTTTTAAAATTTTTTAAGAGGAACTTATTTTCATGAACTTATTTTCTGCATTTAGAAATTAATTCAGATTTTTTATTCAGTAAATTTTCTAAA